AGAGATCAGAGGAGCAGTCAGGTTTTGAGGTGATCAATAATGAATCTGCACATCATGAAGCTATATGATTCTAGATGAGTTATTTAACTTCTCTTTCCCAAAGGTTTTTTTTTTAATGTATAAAGAGAGAAAATGATTTTCATAGCATAACAATCTCTGAAGATAACACTTTATCTAGTACCTAATATACACAGTTAGTATTATGGTTCAGATATGACGTGTCCCCCAAAAGCTCATGTGTGAGACAATGCAAGAAGGTTTGGAGGAGAAATGATTGGGTTATAGGCTTAACCTAATCAGTGAATCAATCCCTGATGAGCGGTAACTGGAGGCTTGGTGGGGTGTGGCTGGAGGACAAGGCTCCTGGAGGGCATGGCTATGGGGTTTATATTTGTATATGGAGAGTGAAGTCTTTCCTTTTCTGATCACCGTATGAGCTGCTTCCCTTTGCTATACTCTCCTGCCATGATGTTCAGCCTCACCTCGAGCCCCGAGGAATAGAGCTGGCCTTCTGGGGACCAAGCCCTCTGAAACCGTGAACCCTCAAACTTTTTCCCCTCTGCAATGGTTCTGATTGGGTCCTCTAGTCACAGCAGTGAAAAAAGCTGACGAAGACAGTAACTATGAAGAGGAGTCTCCCTGTGTATGTAACAGCATAAATGCAGTGCCATTCTCCCTTCAGGATTAACAGAGATGAAAGAGAGGCGCAGGGAAACCCGACTTATCCTCATGTCTCTTGAGTGAAGTACGATATACTTCAAGTGTGGGTGGGAAGAACAGTCTTAGGACAAAAGGCACAAAGAGCTGAGATTACATAGTGTGGGGACATGAAAGCCAAGAGGTGATTTAAGGAGATTTTTAAATGAAAGGCAAGCTGAAACTTAGTGTGTAGTTTTGCTGAAAATGGTGCTTGGTAGCACAGACCCTTTTAAGAAGCAATGTTTTATTTATAAAAATGATGTGCAAGACCTTAACTGTTTATTTTTTAATTGCCAGAGTAATACATATTTATTATAGAAAACTTGTAAACAACTGAAAGAAACTGAACACCTATAAATAAATTGCACCTATCTTTCTAATGCCTACAGGTTCTGTTCACTGGAATTTCAGCTCTATCCATTCATCTATCTATCCCTGCATCCCTCCATCATTCATTTCTCTCTCTCTTTCTTTTACAGAGATAAAATTAAACTGTATGTCATGTAAACTGCTGTGTTTTGCATAGAAACTTTCATGGAGGCTAATGCTACTGAGAGAGATTTGGGTTAGCTCTATGTAGTAAGAAGAAAATGTCCAATGTGCTTTGTCAATGAGTTATTGAGGGAGAAAGCAACATTTTCTTCTTTGACAGTCTTAAAATGTAATAGGATAAACTCTCTTCTCATTGATGGCAAGGGTATGACCCCGCTTTACTGCCCTGTTATTCTCTGATATGTGGACAAACCCTGAGAGTGCTTTTCTAAGGACTTACTTCTCCCAAAAGTGGCAGGAAGAAATATTGGTTAGAATATGATGTAAGAGAGACTTTTTATTAATCCCTCACCTACGCTTGTCTTGAGGACTGAAGAGTTCATCTTTCCCGAGAGAGTGAGTCTGCTCAACTTTTCATTTTTAAATATTAGAATCACTGTAAAATTCTACTCTGACTAATCCAGAATAAAGAGGGGGAAGATTAGTGTCACAAGGATATAGTTATACATGAGCAAATCATTTTAAATAAGTTTAAATCTAAGAAGCTGCTTAGAGTGAAGGCATTTATGTCAGATTGGATGGGATAACTCTGTGTGTGTGTGTGTGTACTTGTGTGCATGTAATAGTAAATGGGGAGGGAAGGATGAAGTGAGAGAGAAATTCAAAGACTTTTTGTATTTGTACGATTTCAGTATATAGACTATTGATATTAGAAGGTCTGGTTTAAGGGGTTATAATAGCTCTTTTGCTAAATTCACAACTTGTTGGATTCATTATCTTCTCATATGTATTTTTTTTTTTTTTTTTGGTGTATCAGAACCTGTGCTTATGTAAACATGCATCCCTAAATGAGTAGAAATATGTAGACCCACCTACTGGAGACCTGGCTCTCATTTTTTATAGGGATGTAAGAAGGTAGGGAGAATACTTTCTTTGTTGAGTATTTTTGATTAAAAAGATATTAATTAAATCAATGAATTTAACAAATGTTCATTGAACTCGAGTATAAGCACTGTGTTGAAGATGGGGAATAGGAGATTGAAAGTATTAAGGAGTGACAACTAGCTTTTTAGTCATTGGTGCACATGTAACTGTTCATCTGTGTCTATTACTTGGTGAACAAAGAAGAGAAGTCCCTGTTACCTTCAGGATAACTCCTCAGCCAAACACCATTTCAATATGATTTCCACTCATCCTTTCAGCTTCATCTGTTAACATTTCCCATATTTACCTTTTGCTCTAGTCCTTTATGGGAAGATTATGGGAAGGATTTATGAAGTCCTCAAACATCTGTGGTTCTTGAAACTTCACGCCCCCTTGCCTCGGTCCTTGTGGTTTTCCTCTGATGGAATGCTTTGCTTGTTTGCTGACCCTTGCCCACAACATCTTTTCATATTTTCTGCTAAACAGTGAGATCCTGGAGAACAGCTGCCATTTCCTTCACTATGGCCTCTAGAACTTAGTATAAAGCTTAGCATATAGAAGCCACACAGTCAATGTGTTGAACAAATGAATGAATGAGGTGAAAGTAAGTGTAATCCAAATCTCTAGTGGTGATGAATACATGGGGCTTTTGTGTATTTGGGAAAGTCTTAATTTCTCTTTCATTTTTGAAGGGTAGTTTTGCTGAATTCTTGGTTTGTGGTTTTCTCTTTCAGCATTCTGACTGTATTATCTTTTTCTCTTCTGGCTTGTAAAGAAGAGAAAAACTCATTGAAAACCCTATGAATAGGGGCTGGGGTTGTGGCTCAGTGGAGGAGTGCTCACCTAGCACATGTAGGAACATTGGTTTCCATCCTCAGCACCACATACAAATACCACATACAAATGTGTCCATCTACAACTAAAATATATTTTTTAAAAAAACCCTATGGAAGCTCCCTGTATGAGCTGATTTTTTTTCTTGCTGTTTTTGATATTTTTTTCTTTGTGACCTTTGACAGTTTGATTATACTATGTCTTGGTGTGCATCTCTTTGGATATAAGCTAATTGGAACTTATTAACCTTTTTGAATTTGTATGACCATTTCCTTTTTCTAATCTGGGAAGTCTTGGCCATTATTTCTTCATATAGCTTCTTTGCCTTTTTCTCATTCATGTCTGTGTTTGAGACTCCCATAATGTAAGTTGATCCACTTGATGATATTTCATATGTCTATTAGGCTGTCCTCAGTTTTCTTAATTCTGTTTTCCTTTTGCTTCTGTGACTCAATAATTTCGAATGACCTATCTTCAAGTTTGCTGATTCTTGATCAAGTTGCTATTGAATCCCTCAAATGAATTTTTCAATTTAGTTGTTATATTCTTCAACTCCTGAATTTCTGAGTTTCTCTTTGTTGATATTGTAATTTTGTTAATGTATCAGTTTTCTGATTTCATTTATTTGTCTCTCTGTGTTCTCTTTTAGCACACTGAGCATTTTAAGATAATAATTTCAAATTCTTTTTCATGTAATTTCTGGATCTGTATTTCTTCAGGGTCAGCTGCTAGAGATTTATTTGGTTCTTATACTGGACCATGTTTCCTCGTTTCATTGTGTTCTTTTTTAATTTTGTTGATATTTGGGCATCTCATCTCTTCCAGTCTTTACGGATTCACTTTGTACAGTAGAAGACTGTACAATCAGCCAAGTTAGAGATTTTAAGAATCTTCCAAGCATTCTCTGAGAATATGTCTTCCTGGCTTTTGTGTGTATTTCCTCACTTAAAAAGAGACCTCTGATATTATCCAGAGGCCATAATCCCTTGTTCCTTTTGGTGTCTGTCTGTGGTACTTCAGAGTCTCTAGTGCTGAAACGAGTTGCCACGTTTGCTTTTGTTTGCTGTGGCCACCAGGCATCCAAAGTAGACTGTTGTTCCATTCAGTTACTTAGTCATGCCTTTAGGAAGCACCCTGTAAAGACAGAAAGTAACTCTTCTTTTTCCCTCCTGAGGGAGAAATGAGGGGTTGGAAGTTTACTCCTGATTGTGCTATTCTGTGCTAGGTGTGAGGGTACAGTCATGAGTAAATGCAAAAAAATTTCTTATATGCTTTGATGTGGCTTTTCTTGGCTTTTCACTCACTTGGGGTGCTGCCAACTCTTAATTGGTTTCTGGAGTTCTTACAGTGAATTTGGTTTATATGTTGTTGTTAAATCAAAGTCTTCATGGTGGTATGAGGGCTTGGGGCTTCCTATTCAGCCATCTTACTTATATCAGTCTTAAAGGGAATCCAAATCTGTTTTGTGAGATGGAGATAATTAATATTGTAGAGCTTTGATAATTAGCATTTGTAGAGATGGAAGCACATCTGTTCTCTCCCCCACCTTTCCAGTCAAGGATTAAAGAAGTCATTCCAGACTTCTGACTTTGTAATCTAGTGTCTGTCTCTCTTTAGTAATAGTGGTTAACATTTAGTAAATGCTGATTGTGTGTCAGTCATTTTTCATATTCCTATTATATGTAATAACTCAGTTGTTATAATAGTTTAAAAGGAAGATAGTATGATTTCTCCCATTTTTACACGTAAGAAAACTGAGTGGCAGAGAATCTATATAATTTATCTAAGGTCATACAGCTGATGATTATCTTAGACTCAATTTTCAAAAGGCATTAAATGGATATTTTGCAGCATTAAGTTAATATTTTTAAAATTAGAATGGTGTTGTTTATATTAGTCAACTTTAAGCAAAATCATTTGTTGCAACAGGCAATTATTCAATTATTATGGATATTATTTTGTGTTGATTGTAAGTGGTAATTACACTGCTGAAAATATCTATAATTTACATATCCAAATGTAGAATGACATCAAAGTTGTATTTTTTGCAGGACAGAATTCATTCAGAGAGGCAGGATTTCAATCACAGGGGCTGGATTTCTCAACTGTATTTTGGAAACTTTTGCTGGCACATTCTTAAGACAGGGGGCACAGAAGGTAAGCTTGTTTCCACTTTGAACCAACATTATTTTAAAAAACCACAGGGATTCCAATATGGCATTGAAAATGATTTAACAAGAAAAATTGTCATGAACAGACATAATTAGAAAAAATACAGTTAATAAACAAATGTATCCTGAAATAATTTCTCTCAATAATCTCAATTAATTAATTAAAATAAATCTAAATCAAAATAAAACTAAAGTACCACTATTAAATTAAAAATATGCTGAAGTCTTCTTGTGCTAATATAGAGAATACTTTAGTCTAATTAAGAACAATATCATAATGAATAAACATATTTATAGTACATGAAATATAACAAATATATAATAACTGCATAATAATAATTAATATTTATTAAGTGCTTACTATGTACTACTGATTATTGGATGAATTTTTATTTCTTATCTCACTTAATCCATATAAATCTTTAAAGTGGTTATTACTGTCCTTATATTATGGATGAGGAAAATAGACCTGGAACTCCCAAGTGTCCATTCTTATAGAGTTCAGGCTCTGATTTGAGGGAGCTTAGGCTTCCATGAAGGTGATTTAGAAACCCCTTTGTGGTTCTAAGGTCCCGTCTGCCCTGTTTAAAGTGGACTCTTTCTGTTTTTAATCTGTCTGACATGGCAGTACATCTGACTTTTATGTATTCCATTTTCTTGCCCTTGGAGCACTGTTTGAAAAATTTCTTTAGAAGAAAGTACATTTTTCATGTGTCCTCATATGGTTATTGCAGTGTTGATTATAGAGCAAGTACTCAGAAGTGTTTTATTATTGTTGTTATTCATTGTGATGGTAATTATTCCCATTATTTCCAGAATTTGCTCAGAATATAATGCATGTTACCTCATTTTCTTGTTGTATGGGATAAAGTTAGTGGATGGTCTAAGGAAATATTGTAATTACTGGTTAATGGACTCTTGCTTTTCATTTTTTTTTTCCAAGAAGGAACCTAGACCAGAAGCCATTATTGGGGGGGGGGGGCGGTGTTGATAAGTGTGATGAATCAGTAGTTGGCACTGTCCCATACACCATAGTCATCATGTTGAGGTTGGTGTGTTCTTGGCTCAGTTGAGGTGGTTTCTGACACATATCCTGACTTGTCTAGATGACTTAATCCTGGGCTTGAAAGGAGTACTTAATTTCTAGAAGGTCTGATTTCACCTTTAATCACTAAGACATTATTGCTAGGTTTTCTGCTGTGTCACAATGTATGCATTTGTAAAACTCCCCATGTTCTAAAAAATTGCATTCTAAGTATGATGGGGGTGATGAGAAAAATAATTTTATTATCATGTCCCTGACTAAATGGGCTTCTTATGCATCCTTTAAATCTTGTGTTATAACAACAACATAATAATAATTAAATACATTTTTTTTGTAATACAGGTTTATTAGAAGAATTTAATTCTTTTTTTGGGGGTGGGATAACATTTAGCTGAATTAGTGTTCAAAATTAGCGTTTGATGATAGCGTTCCCTGTCATCAAATTGGCTGTAGTTGTTAATTTGTAAAAACCATTCTTGTCCTGTGAGCCATGTAGAAACAAGTGTTGGGCTGGATTTGGCTTTGGGGCTGTGGTTTGCCAACCCTTGCTTTAAATAAGTGAACATTGTTCAATTAATCCAAGTGGGTCTGTATTTGATCTGCCAATCAATCTGAACCTATTAATGACTTTTAGTCATACAGAGATTGTGTACATTTTGATCCTGTGATGTGCAAAAAGTGAACATTTTGATTCTTATTTTACAAATGACAAATGACTTAAAGAGATAAACATATCCAATATTTGGGTAACTGCTTGCCCACCTTCATTCTAGTAAAATATATGTTGAGTGCCTGTTTTGTGATTGGCACCATGCTCAGTGTAGGCTAAATGGATTCACTCAATGCCACAGAACCAGTACAGCATAGGATCTGGACTGAAATTCCTGTCTTTTGTCAACAAAACTTGCCTCTTGCTACTACTGTGCATTTCTCAGATGAATGAAACAGAGTCCTTACTTCTGAACAGCATGAACTTCGCAAATGCTACTGTGCACCAGGTGAATTTGAGTTGTGGTCTCATTCCCTTTTGTTTCTTAGGATTCTTTTGTTGAAGTAACAGAAGTCACTTTAGGCTAGCTCATTGTGAGGGTACAAAGGTGGTGGGTGGTGGGGCTGGTAGGCTTCAGAAAGATCTGCACTGGGGTCTGAGAGCTGCCAAGCACCGTCTGCTGATGTCTTTTCTTTCTAAATTTTGTAGAAGAGATCCTTGCTGGCCTTGTTATAGGTCCAGAGCCACCAAAAGAATGAGGGTCAGGTTATGTAAATACGTGTCATCCTCTACTCTGACATTGTGGATCAGGGTTGGGGATTGTTTCTCAGAGAAAGGGCTGGTGGGAAGGGCAGATATTCCCAAAGTTTTTTGGCATGTTATCACAGGAGTGTCTTTGTTCCTTGATGGTAGAGAGGGGGTTTTGTTTCTTTCTTTCTTTTTTTTTTTAAATTGAATCTTAGTAAATTTAGATTATTAATTGTAGTAAAGAACACATAACAAGTTTTACCATCTTATCCATTTTTAAGTGTGTATGTTCACATTGTTGTGTAACAGATCTCCATAATATTTAAATCTTGGAAACCTGAAGCTGTAAACCCATTAACAGTTCCCTTCCAACCAAGCCCCAGTTAATTATTATTTTGCTTTCTGTTTCTATGATTTTGACTGCTTTAGATACCTCATATAAGTGGAATCATATAGTATTTGACTTACTTCATTTACTATCCTCAGGTTTATTTTTATTGTAGGATGTGAGATTTCCTTCTCTTTTTGGACTATGCAATAGTCATATATCTATATTTATATCTACCTGACTATATATATGTATATATGTGTGTCTATTTATACACATGAACACACACACCATATTGAGTTTATCCATTCATCCATCGATGGACATATTGATTGCTTTTGCCAGCTGAATATTGTGAAAAGTGCTGCTGTGAGCATGGGTGTACCAATATCTGAGATCCTCCTTTTAGTCCTTTTGGATATATACCTATAGTGAGATTACTGGATGTTTTTTAACTTTTTGAGGAACCTCCGCACGGTTCTTCTTATGGTTTTATTTAATCTTAATACTGATTCCTCCCCAACCTGTAGTACCTTGGACAGTGTTCAGTGTATTTATGTGAAAATAAATAGAAAGGAAATAGAATGCATAGTGATGTCAGTTGCTGATGCAGTTTCTGCTGAATTAATATTCAGTTAATACTGGAAAAAAATCAAGGTATTTAATTTTTAAAAGTGATGAACCCAACTGATTCCTCTTTATTTGTACTTTTTAATTATGCTTAGAAGTAAGAATACATTTTTTTTCTTCTAGTTTTACCCTTTCTGACTTTACTTTTTCTTTCCGAAGAGGCCAAGTTTAATTAGCTTTGCAGTTTTAGGAGCCATTCATGCTTAAGTGTCTTTTGCCTTTTATCCAAGTGGCGATGTTTTCCAGTGTCATCCTGACTTCCTGATAAACCTTCATGGCTGAGCCTGCATAAATGGGTTCTGCAGAAGTCCCTGCGAGAGCATTTTATTTTCACTTTTAGGCTCTATCCCTGAGGCTGTTCAGTAGTGGTAAAGGTGGGATCTGATATCTGTTTTTTTTTTCCCAATAAAAACAAAACTAGATACTCATAAACTTTAGATCTCTGTGTTTGTAAATTAGACTCTGGCTCCTGATGTGGCTCCCCACGCTGAGGTCACTGTGTTTCTGTGCCTTTGGGTACTTGTGCAGTTGATTTTTTCTTTCTCTTCACTACTGAGACAGCTTGTGATTTGGGGGCCTTTCTGATACATGCTGACTTTTTTTTTTTGTACAAAATGTGTTCTTTTTATTAAGAATTAAAAAAGCCATAATCACATTCTTCTTTGTCATAATTCCTTTTTAAACTTGGGCAAATGTGTATGGTGGATACAACTACATTTAAATCTGGAAGGCACCTTTTGGGTGTCAGTTGTGTGACAGGCATTGGATGGAGTACTGGAGACACACGTAGGAATAAGATATAATTCACAAGATAGAGACTGCTGTCTGCAGCTTTGATTCTGGGCCATCTAGCTCAGGGTGGAAAGAGTGACAGGTAATGAAACAACATCTACTGATGCTGAGAAGTTACTGAGCCCTGTGTGGTGTTCAGTGTTCAGAATTATGATCAGTGCTGAGGACAATATTAAAGTGACAGCTAGTTTTTATGAAGGCTTATTAGATGTCATCATTGTGCTTAGCATACTTAGCCTTTTCTGAACAGCTCAATGAGATAAAAATGTTATTCTCATTTTATGTATAGGAAAACTGAGGTCCCAAGTGGCAAAGCAGTTTTCTCAAGTTTTTAGAACTAGAAACTGGTGAACCTGGACTTTGAGCCAAAGTCTGTCTGACTCCAGAGTGTGCTCTTGATCGCTAGACCATGCTGTCCCCTCCATCTTCTCTGCACTTAAACTATGTGGGGCAAGGTGTGTGTGATTGATGTACCCAGAGTGAGGTGACACAGTGTGTAATAAGGAACTCCGTAACAAGGAAGAACTCAGAACAGGCCAGAGGAGTGGGGCCCATGCTACTAGAAAGGGCCTTTGAGTAGTCAGTGAATATCTTCCCTTCTGTTCAGAGATCTGAGCCTCATTGTCCACACTGTAGCTGTCCTAAATTCCAGAGTGCCATGGGGGTTGAGGGGTGCTTTGTGTCATTTCTATCATTTTTATGTAACAGTATATCCTTTCTTTTTTTCTTTTTTTGTACTGGGGCTTGAACCCAGGGGCATTCAACCACTGAGCCACATCCCCAGCCCTATTTTGTATTTTATTTAGAGACAGGGTCTCACTGAGTTGCTGAGTACCTTGCTTTTGCTGCGGCTGGTTTTGAACTCACGATCCTCCTGTCTCAGCCTCCTGAGCCGAGCCGCTGGGATTATAGGTGTGCGCCACCACACCCGACTATTTATTTATTTATTTTTTT